CTGTGCAGGCAGTGCTCTCATTTAGAATAGGCATGTCTGGACTGGGCTAGGAATGTACCAAACCAACAATTCACCCAGCACCATGTGCTGCAGCAGAACCTAACTCCTTTTCTGACTTTGTTCAAACAGGTAGAAAGTCCACTCAATACCTCCCCTTTATATTTAACCTTATTAAGGTCAAAGACCTAAGATCCTCTGCAGCTCTTCTTGTCTTCCTTGCCTGTTTCCCAATCTGAACTAGTCAATGACGAGGTAAACTATCACAATGTCTTGCCCTTTCATAGCAGCCATAAGCAGGCAGCCAAAGAATTTAAGAACAAGCATACATGATACTTCCTCAGCATCCTTTCCCAGCCTTCAGTCACATTCACTCACAGACTGCAGAGCCTATATTGAGATACTTAGCTAGGGATTTCCTTCAGTGAGATTCTCAAAATATCTTCAGATACAAGACCTTTGATACATGTGTCCTTCACACTTAAATCACAAATTCTAAAATTTAACACAAATCTGATCCAATCTGACTGTAAATAACCAAAGTGACACAAGCCTAACATCAATGACAGTAGAAGAAAGTACCTTGACCCAAGCTTGTTTATAACCAAGGAAAAAAATTTTCAGCATACAAACCTCTTACCTTTTAATTATTCCAAGTTAATAAATAAAATTAGGAGAGTAATGAACAACTACACTTATAGCATAGGCATACAGACCAGACAGTAAAAAAGTTTAGGTTCAGTCTGTACACAAACTAAAGCAAAAGAGCAATAGTGCAAACTGAAAAATAAACTTCATACATAGCAAGTGGGAATTCAGAGTTACTTATTTTCCCAAAGAGGATATTAAGAAAACATCTAAAAATTAATATGTAAATTTTAAGTATGCAATAAAAGCTAAAACAAGTATAGGCTTATTGCTAACTTATTTTCCCTATTGCTTTGCATGAAGATTTCCTAAAAAGAAATTTCCTAAAAAGAAGGAAATTTCCTAAAAAGAAGACTCACCACGCTAAAAGTTACATATCTGTACTTAAGGTGATGGTAATTTTTATACTACTTTTGCACTGAACAAGACACTACAAGACGGTTTAAATTCATAACGCGCAACTTCTGGACATCCAAACCTTAACTGAGGTCACAAGAGGTCAAAGAATCCAGTAATGCTAAGTTTTTATTACAAAGAAAATTCTTTTCCTCTGTTAACAAGCCACCAGTTGAGACGCTAAACAGGGATAAATAAGCAACCAAAGTTTTGTTTCTTCTATGACAATTTCAATCTCTAAACTAAGGAGCATAAAATAGGTCACATCATGAATTACTTAGACTGAGAAGGCCCTTCTCTTCTCTCAGATGGAGTAGAAACAGCAACCAAAATAGTCATGGAGTTCGGGGAGAGGGAGGACAACTGGAGGTGGATGAACAATGGCATTTTCACTTCCACCTACCTCACCTTAATATGCACTCTTCCAACACCAACAAACCTGATGTCTACCGACAGCAATCAGAACTTTCTACCTTGTGAAACTCTAAAAGATTTTGTTAGCATTTACAGAATGTAATTGAACAGAAGTGACCTTCAAAAATATTTAAAAACAGATAAGAAAACTGAAGCCAAACATTAAATTTTGACAGTTACTCATTACTAAGAAAAACAAAGTCTTTAAAAGGAAGGGGAAGAATACATCAATAGTTTTGCAGAAGCATTCTACAAAAATACTTGTAAGACATGAATAAGAGTTATTACACCTTGTTTCCAGGAAAAAAAAAAATAAATTTTTCAATCACTATATACAAGCTTACCGATACAAATGGCCATCATCTTGGAAGTCCTCTTTGCCCCACCTTCCTTTAATATCTTCGATAACATGATTTTTCAGGAACTTTTTAAGCAGTTTAACCGTCTGATCGCGAGTCACCTCTGGGCCGAAGTTTTGATTAGAGCCGAGTAGCTCATGCAAAATATCCACCGCTTCCGAGGCTCTGAAGCAACGATCGTAGCTTTTGAAACGATAGCGGTGCTTCCGTACGGGCATCCCAGCACGGAAGAGTTCTATTATCTCGTTCCACTGGGGGAGGAGAACAAAGCAAATCGTTACGGGAACTCTTCTCCCAGGAACATTTTGGCTCTGCAAGAGCGATCAGAAAGCAGAAACTCGAAAACCCGAAAGCAGAGCTACACACTTTAATTTGGTTAATCTGCGTTTGAGAGAACACTGAAAGCTAAATCCAGGAGTTAGACTGTCCAGACCTGAGAACAAATACAGGTCTAGGAAGCTGAAATAGTTAGAGCCCCATATACCTGCTCTGCTACCGACACGGCTTTAACCTCCCTTGGGCGGGACAAAAGGCTGGACCTGCCGCCCCGCTCCGCAGCGCCGAGCTCTGCGCGGCGCCAGCACGGGGAGTCCCCGCCCTGCGCGGAGCGAGCCTGGCAGCGGCGGCCGGCACCCAGAAGACCGGAGAGGGAGCAGCCGCGGGGGAAGAGCTGCCGGGGGGCACTCACCAGGCAGCGGAGCACTCACCAGGCGTGTGGCGCGGTAAGGGCCGGGCCCCACCAGCCGCGGCTCCATCGGCGCGGCCACGCCGACCCCGCGCCGCGTTTGAATGCGGGACGGGCCGTGTCGCCTCCGCCCATTGGCTGGCGGCGGGCGCACGTCAGGAGCCCACGCCACCTCTGATTGGCGATGGCGGGATGACGGCGCGCGCCGCGGGGCCGGGCGGGAGCGCTGCCCTGAGGGCGGCTCTGCGGAGCGCGGCTCGGGTTACACCCAGCCTTACCTCAGCAAGGTACACCGGCATCTGAAGGGAGGTGCCCAGAGGAGGGGGACAGGCTCTTCTCGGTGGTGCTGAGCAATAGGACAGGAGACAATAAACAGAAACTGATGCACAGGAAGTTCCACTTGAATATAGGGAAAAACTTCATTACTGTGCAGTTGACAACGCACTGTAAGAGACTGACCAGAGAGGCTGTGGAGTCTCCCTCACTGAAGATATCCAAGAAGTGTCTGGATGCAATCCCGTCCCATGTGCTCTAGGATGACCCTGCTGGACCAGATGACCCATGTGGTACCTTCTAACCTGACTCATTCTGTGGGTGACAATGGGTCAAACCGTGTCAGTGGAACACTGGCCAGTGAACTAGCACCCAGATAAAGAAAACACAACCTTGGCATTATCTAAATAATCAAACAAACAAAACAACAAAAAAAATCCAACAAAACTCAACATTTTTTTATGTTTTAAAGTTGTTTCAATCATATTTTTTGATCAGTAATTTTGTTTTGAATTCAGGGGGTGTGCTGGATAATTATTACTTACAATTATATTTTATATTATTCATACAGAAGACAGGGATTGATGGTGGTGTCACAGACCTCATTGAGTTGTTTTATATTAGCTTTTTATTTTAAAGAAAGGGTGATTTGAAAAATAAATAGGAATCTTGTCTTAAGGCACAAAATTCTGAAAGGAGGTCAGCTATGCTGCAGGGGCAGGGATATAACTGACATTCCTGTGACACCTATTACAGATGAGCTATCTGTCAATTGTTAGGTCTGCCACAGGTGAGGAATGGCTGCTAACACTAGTGTTTCATCTCCACCAAGTTTAAGGAAAACAAAATTCCCCTCTCAATGTTCACCATAACATGCACTTCTCTTTATAACCTACCTCAAATGTATGATACACTTAAGCATGTAAGATGCAAAATTTTTAGGTCCACGTCAAGTTTGTGTGATTCTCACATTGGGTGTAAGAGGACAGGATTTAATAACATTTTGTACTGATGTCATTGGCATAGTTACACTTTATGCATCCTCTTAGGATACATTCATACAACTCACTGAAACAATGCATTCTCTTTCTCCAAATGCTTCATAAGTCACAGAAAACTAAACCATTGTGCAAGAGATTATGCAGCATGAATCTGACATGGCACTTGTTGACAGCCCACAGAGTGATTAGCATCTCCAGTTTCTGCTCCTGCTTATTAGTTCCTAATCTCAACTAACTCTGGAAGACTTTGGCTACGGTACAACTGCTGGAATTGGAAGTTTTTCCTGACTCTTTCCTGTTCAGCATCTGTCCACATACAGTGCTTCTTAGTTTTTACCATGTACACTCTCAGGTACTACAGAAGCCCATGAGTGAGATTCTCTGATAAAGCACCTTTCCACATGCACTGCCAAGGAGCCGAGAACTCAGCACTGATGATTCTAGGATCAAGCGTCTGAAATTCAGGGGTCCCAATACAGATTTCAAGTCATCCAAATACTTTCTGAGATCTACTTTCAAACTGTCATGAGAGCTGACAGTTACAGGGATTAAACAATGGAAAGATAAAACATAAACTATTTTTAAAATTTGTTTTATAAAGAAGACTCAATGTAATCTCAAAAGAAAACAGTTGCAACTCATGTCTACGATAAAGTTAAAATTCTTTTAGCATTTAAAATGCACCACAAAAGTCAATAAAATAAAATGTTCAGGTAATAAAAGTTGTTCCCTCAGTATTGTACAAGAAGGAGCCTATTAAAACCTGCCTTTGAGTATTTGAAAATCCTCCAGACCAGGTCAAATACAAAGCAAGTATTGCAAGCTTCTTTTCTTTAGTGTTAAACGTAATAGAAAACAATACTTTTAAAGGTAACATTAATTTAAACACCTTTAATTCCTCATTTGCAGGTCTGTTGTGTGCATCAATCCCTTAATAAAGTCATGCAGTACAAATGCAACTTACATATGATAGCTAGTTCCTTTGACTTCTACACGTGTGACCCTAACCTGGGTCTGCCTAGCCATGGAAAAAAAACATTCTGGTTAATTCCACACAGACTGGAGCCGTGCCCAGTCACCACTGCCTGATCCACTCTCAGAAGCCAGGGAATGTCACATATTATTTTGCCTGGTTCTGGACAAAGTAACTGGTACTGTTAAAGAAATAACTTCAGCCTTGCGTTGATAGAAACAAGAAATTATAATAATAAAAAACCCAACACAAACTCTTTCTAGGCATGTATTTCAATAGGTAATGGAAACGGAAGAGAGTAGAACAGGGTACAATCATGCTAGGCAACATTCAAGCTTCAATCAAAGAAAATTTCATTTTTTAATTTTATTTAAGTGCTAAGATTTTGGCTATTGAATTACAAGATTCAGTAATCCCCTCATCCCCTCCCATAAACAGCATATGCTACCAATATAAAATATATCCATAGATACATTGAATAATATGTATATTAGGCTACTACAGTGAACAAATCAGTAAGATGTTTTGACCACTACAAGATCGCTACAAGACAATTCAGATAATCCCCATATTAGTAGCTTTCCAACATTTACGATAATGTCCAACTGAGTAGAACATGAAATGACTTAAGTTCTTAGTAAAAGACAGTGTATCCAAAAACCTGATCTTCAAATGAAACGCCATGCCTTGACAGATTAACACACAATCCTTCCTTTAAAGTAATACAGTCTATAAACAAATATAACAATGTTTATGTATTAACTGTATTAATAAGCTTTAAATAGTATTTACTGAAGATTCTTTTAATTCAGCTGACAGTCTCAGCAGCTTACATTTAAGGTGAAGTGATTTTTATCCCCCTCAGTGTTCAAAGTACTCAGTACTTTTCATGCACATTTTAATTTCCTAATTATTATCTTTATTTTCATGCATTTCCTAGATAGATATCATCTATCTTTTTTTATTTGTTTGTGGTTTTTTTTTTTTAATCAGAGATCCACAGTGCTCCCTCCAGCCCTCATATTCTGAATCCTAAATAACTTATGGTAAAATACAAATTCTGTTTTGGAAGAAAACATAAAAAATATACACCATGTAGTGTGCGCACCTAAATATCTTGATTGTCAAGTAGTGCAAGTTTCCCCTTTGACGTATATACTTTTTGGTTTTAGAGACAAGAATTTGTTTTACTGATCTTTGTGGATCCCATTTCTTGCCATCTTTGGTAGTCTTTGTCCTTTTGTGTAAGCGTGGTACCAGAAGTGTAGAAACAAGACTAAAAACATTGAGCCATACAGCCAAATAATAAACATGAAAATTGGATACTGGTACTGACAATCATCCATGACGTAGATTTGTCCTATATGAACTGTAATCATAATAAACTGGACCTGGAGGGAAAAAAAAGTACTTTTTAAATAAATTACATACTTACTATAGAAGTTTAAAAAAAATCAGCATAACTTGTATGCATGAAAACAGATAGAAGGGGTGGAGCTGGCAGAAAGTGGGGAGCAACAGAGACACCAACACAACTTCTTAAGATGACAGAGATCCCCTTTACAACCCCTCTCCAAAAATATTACTCCACTGAAAAACAGTTTTACAGAGAAAAGGAAGAAAAGTTCTGGGACTAGTTGAATTACAAGCAGCACTGAGAAACTCGTAGCAGGAGAATGGGATTCTGCTCTGGTCAGTTCAGAGAAGAAGGAAGGAGGCAAACAGTGTTCGACTAGTGACAAATGGGAGGCTCCTTTAGAGAAATTAGCCAGGCGGGGGAGGGAGTGGGGGGAAGAACAACCATTACAGGGTTTGGGAACATGAATTCCCACCTTCCCTGCACACCAGCATGTGACAAAAAAAGTATTCCACATGAAGTGCAAGTTAATAGTCCACTGATAGTGCCTCCAAGACAAAAAGACTGAGATATAAATATTCAAGCTACATTGTTCGGAGTTGCACATGGTTACATGAACTCTTCCATTAACATCAGCCCTATGTGCAAGGACACAGGGTGCTCCTCTCCCTCCTCTATTAGCATCCTTGCTCATGATAAGTCAATTGTTTAGCCAAGAGCTGAATTTCAAAAATCCGGCTATTAAAGACGGGCATAAAAAAAATCACCCAGAACCATAAACCTTTTGAAAGTGATATAAAGCCGATAAAACACAATGTAATTACTGCAAGAGTATTTTGTAATGCTCTGGGGTGAAGAGAGGACCGTGAGATTAGCTCAGTTGGTTAGAGTATGGTGCTACTAACACCAAGATTGTGGGTTTGATCCCAGTATGGGCCATTCATTTAAGAGCTGGACTCTATGAGCCTTGTGTCTCTCTTTCAGCTTAGAATATTCTGTGATTCTGTGACTAAATTCTCTAAACATAAACATTTTCTATGAAAGAACAGACATGAAATTCAAAAGAAATATTTTTTCCCTTTCCTCACTACTGGTTACATATTTATTCTGTATATCAACTGTATTTTCTTGGTATAAACTTACATTTTAATAATTTTTATACAAGCAATGAATTTTGTAAATATATTTACCAAGTATTGCATAACTGAAAAGCTCATGTGTCTACATCCATGCTTAGAGTGAGTGCTGAAGTCCACAGATTTAAGTATATAACTGGAGAGGTCATACTTTTTGTTTTTCTCAATTAAAAGATAAATCTTGTGCCAACTGTAACCCACACACATGAACATAAATAACTAAAAGTACAAATTTATTCCATTAAGTCTGTGTCAGCCACAATCACATTTTTGAGACTTGTATTTGTCAAAAACAGTTACTTACAAGTTGTATAGTTGTCATGTACTTTTTCCACCACAAATATTTATGGTAGGCTGGTCCCAAAGAACAGATTCCATAATAAGTGTACATGACAACATGGACAATACAGTTCAACAAAGCATGAAATGTTCCCAAACCACCTGTAGAAAAACAAAATGTAGTAGTATAGCATCAGGTATTTAAAAAGCTACCTCAGGTCCTAGCAGATATTTTGAGTACGAGTAAAAAACATGTACCAAAAAACCTAGATTTTGATTAATCCTCAAGGTATTTAACCCTGAATTGGTTGATATCAGTTCTGAGGGATCATATCAGTTTGCTATCTCATAAATGATTTCAGCATTTTAATGAATGCAAGAAATTAGAGGTAAAAGTGATGTAAGAAGCAGCAGACAGCAAAGTAAGAGAAATATGAAATGAAATACGAAAGAGAAATATGAACATGAAAATACTGAGCATAAAAGAAAAAATGACATGATAGGAGAGATTTAGTGATAAAAAAAGAGTGCTATTTTCCCATTAAGAATCATTCGAATTAAAAATAAAATATTTTATGTTTTTAGTTGCTCACACTACTCTTCCAGCTTGATAGAGCATAACTCCTCCAGCTGTAATTGCAATCTTTCTTTGAAACTTAGCTATTTGTATTTTTAAAAATAATTTGAGTGTTCTTACAGTTCAAACATACATACTTTTTTTTGGCTTGCACAGTGAATATTCAGAAGAAAAAATAAACAGTTAAAGCAGAGAAAAAAGAAAAAAAACAACCTAATCAACAGTGCAATGTGCTCCAAAAAGCAAGCATAATACTAAGCACCATGCTACAAACTTGATAGATGCTGCTATTTAGAAAGAGAAACACTGATGAAACTGAATACAAGGTAATCATCAGCAGGACTGAAATTCTTGGAAAAAATTTAAGTTATCAAACTGAAAAATATTTAGAAAGATAAGTGTAAAGATAAGCAATAGAGTTTTTGGACTAAACACAGCTCTGCATGAATACGAGGAACTATCACTAGCAGAGGACAAAACAATTCTTGCACACTTTGCTGAAAGTATTTGTCAAGTTATCACATGGGAAATTTGAATCTTATGCAAAATCATAAGCCTGCAGCTGGTATACTGATCCAACATCCAGATAAAAGGTAGAAAGTTAATCACCTATTAAGTGGAAAATTTTCAAGGTTGAAGAGGAGAGACTGCTATTTGCTGCAGGTTTTCTTTTGCAAACCTATAAACACATTGAAGTGTATGCTGAGAAAACTACTCACAGTTTTGCCATTAACTTAATACCAATTACTCAGAAAGATTTGAGAATTACATAGTCAATTCACCAGTTTCCTAATAACAGAAACTCAACAAATGGAGTAGAAGTATATCCTATAGATATAGATATATATATATATATGTACACATTAGCAAAAGCTGCACACTGGACAGATTCAATGGATCCCATCTGCACATTTTCTCGACTACTTCCAGGTCTTGTTTTTGTTTTTATAAAACAGACTTTAATAGATCAGATTAATAAGAAATGGTTCTCTTCATCAATCCATCACCTATGTTCTGGGATAAAATAACCCAAAACATGCTGTCAGGAAACATAAGGGAATAAACATTAACAACCCTCCTTGTTTCTCAGTAAAAACTCCTAAAAAGGCCTAAACTGTCCCAGAAATTGACTGTGCATTTCTCCACTCTGTTCTTATCAGATTATTGTTGTGGCAAGCTGTATTTATTAGTGGTCCACACTAATAATATAACATAGGAAGATGCATGCATAGATACACAGAGCAGAAAAGGAGAAAGTGAAGGTAAGCCGGTAGTGGACAAAGAATTTCAATTCAGTACAATTCAAATATGTTTCTTTAATAAAGAAAGTCTAGAAAAATATTTCTGTAGCTTCGTGAAAGCCAAAATATTATATGTAAATAAACCCCACTCACAACTACCTAAAGCCAGTAAAAGCAACTGCAACAAAGATTGAATAATTTCTCAAACAGGAAAAATAAGGAGAACAGTCCTCCCTCACAACACAGTTCTAACATTTCATGAGGACAAATGGTTTTGAAGTAGTTTCAACGGAGTTATTTGTCTCATGTATCTCCTCCAGCACTTCTGATTTTACTATCACTTGCCTTTTTCATGTAATAGTGCTTTTTGATTATATACAACTCTCTCCTCTGCAGCTTTTCCCGCCATAAGAAATCAGTACTGCACAAAATGCTGTCAAATAGGAAAAATGAGTAGTCCCCAACCTTTTAAATAATCATGGTAATCTCAGTTGTTCAATAAAATACTGCAGAAATCTAAATTTAAAATAATTGATGCTTGCAAGATGTTTAATTCTGTTCTTTTTTATTTTTGCCTACCACAGTTAACTTTTACTACCAGAAGATATGTTCAACTCCAGTTCAACTCTCTCTCCACTACCTGCAGCAAATTTGACTCCAAACCACCAGGTCCATGGCATGATGGAATGATGGAAGACATGCAGGAATGTAACTTGGTTGTTCTTCTTACGCAGCACAAAAAATATCTGAAACAGATTTTTAATGAACAGAAAGTTATAGAAAATAATCAAGCCCAACATACTTAAAGAAAACTGTATGTATCAGTCGCTCATATTTAAGAGTTCTTTGCAATTGCAGTCTTGGGAGATGAAGGAAAACTGAGGGTCTGGATATGCAGCCTAGTTTTCAAAAAAAAATTAAAACCAGTATGTAAAATCCTGAGAAGTCTCAAAAGCCAGTGCAAGCTTTGAAACCAAATGTTCAAGGCTGAGCCATCACCTACATGTGCAACAACAGTGTAAGATGGACTTGGTTGGATTGAGAAGTCTCTAGAAGCATCAGATTTTAAGTCCTCTGAACTATTAATGAAATGCCATTTGAGAAGATTAACTGAAGGATTAGCAACAGATAGAGATAGTAGAAAATAACAGAGAAATAGCAATTTATTATGAACATTGACTTAGCCACCCTTGGAAAACAGCAATATTGGACAGAATATACATAGGTACTCTTAACTGATATTGACAGGCCACATTTTAAAGGACAGACAGTGAGGGAACTGTTAAGAGAAGACAGAGGAAAAAAATTCTGTAAAGAGAAGTCAGGTCATGCAAAGGGTAGTATCACATGGCACGCAAATAAACACAGAAAAGAAGAAGTGTGGTTTGCTGGGGAAAATGTTTGGAATCAGCAGATTTAAATACAGCTAAGAAATTATTTTTGGAATAAAAGCAAAATATGACGAGAAACAGGTACCTACTTGTGTGGATTCAAACACAGCAAAATAAAAATAAAAAAAATTCAGCCTCAAGACTAATTAAAAAGGAGCACTCTAACCTGTGGTAAATAAAGGCAAATAGAGGAATAAACTTGTCAGGATTTTCCAGTTTTAGCATTCCTGACCCTTCCATTACCATTTCATTTCATTTAGTCAGTAAGATCTTCCAGTGTTGAATCATAAGCATTTGCAGAATGAAAGTCAGACAGCTAACTTTACTCGAAGAGTGTAGAACATCCTCACTACTCAGGAGGCAGCTCCTGAACCACCCTATTGGTGGCAAATAGAACTGCAGATGATTCCAGCACTCAGAAGCTGATTTGAAAATATCTAAGCCAACCCTACTTGGTGTTAGTCTTGGGAAGAGAGAAAGGCAGATGGCTGCTGGTGGTGACCAAGGTCTGCATTCTGCTTCAATGCATTGCTGCTCAGACTTTCTTTGAAAAAGGTTAGAGTGTCAGCCTGACATCAAACACCTCTATAATCATGACCCTCAAGGCAATTCCAGGAATTTAGAGAAGGTAGGTATGGGAACTTTGTGCTGTATTCAGAGCTGGTGATGATAATATTCTGAATGGGAAAGATAAAATCTGAATATGATATGAAAACATATATTCAGCATAATCAACTCTTTTTTATCTGCAGTGTTGAGACAAGCATTGCCATAGCATAACAGATTAATGTATTCATAGCATAACAGGTTAGTTAAACAAACAATTACTTTATCTGGTCTTCTTAAATTTTTAAAGCTGTGTTCTCTCATTAACATTTTTCTTGATAATCAAGGAATGACAGTGTAATAGGACAATCAGATGAGTTATTAAGGGTAGACACCTGGATAGTATTCTAATGATTGAGGACTGTAGGACTAAATAAAAAGCAATTTATACCCCCAGTGCTCAACAGCACTGGTTCTTCTATTGTGAAAAGGAAACATCACTATTTCTTTTATTAAGCTACAAACACTTACAGTATCTAATAATTCAATGAACTTGGAAAAGAAGTAAAGCCAACAAGTTCGCACCATCTGCAAGAGTAAAAAAAAAAAAACAGCTGTCAAATCATAACAGTCATAAACAAAACTAAGCAGCTGCAGGACAAATAAATATATACAGGAAAATAAAGGAAAGCACCAGGTTAAGTGGTGTCCCAAGGTTGACAGAAATATTTAAGTGTATGGTTTGTTTCATTTTTCTTTAAACACACAAAATATTTATAAATCTCGAAGGAATTTTAGAAACAAGAAGAACAAGTAACAAATTCATTGCCTCTTTCTTTGTTCCAACCAACCCATCCAGTTATCTCACATGCTCTACATTACCTAAAAGGGCATTTCCACATGGTGCATTTCACTTTACAGCAGTGCATTCAAAAAAAGAAGGCTGTTCAAAAAGCATTTCTGAAAATAAAATCAGTGTATAACAATACTACTTTGAATGACCTGGTCTAGTGGAAGATGTCCTTGCTCATGGCAGGGTGGTTGGAACTAGAGGATCTTCAAGATCACTTCCAACTATAACCATTCTATAGTTCTATGACAAAAATTCAGCTTTGTGTTTGGCAACTTACCCTTAGAGCTGTTGGTGACCTTGAATAGTCAACAATATCACACCGGAACGAGTAACCTGTGGCCCAACCCGACATAAGAAACTGGAGCAAAGAAAAGGGAAAGGGCAAAAATTTACTTTATTTCCTTTGAAAAATTCATTAATTTTGGATTACTTCGGCAATCACTAAGCAGGAGAGGAAAAACAATATTAAAAACATGTTGAATAAGTAACTGTCAATCAATTACCTCTGTGTGGGATAACTACCACAAAATCCTTTGCTGTTGCAGATTAATGAATTCCTAATTCCAAGACCACACCTATAGATAGGAATTTTCTTCCTACACCCATTATTTCAGCATTAGTAACTGAAGAGGAAAACAGCTTCATCTCAAAACCAATGCTAAAAAACAACTTACTGTGTAAATCAGACCACAAAACCATAGCTAACCATCTTAAAAAGAATCCAACACAGCATCTTACTAGTCTAACGAAACTAGCACTATAAAAATCTATAATTGCTAATTATCATCAAAGACAAGGAACAAATCCATATGCACAATGCATATTTAATAACACAGTTTCTAAAATTTTTCCTTAGTTAAACTGAGTGATTCAGTTGGTCTTTCACTGATACAAGTGATCAGAAGCTACAATGAGAACACACACTTGAACAAAGGACTCTACGTACCAAGTATCATCTAATCTTTTCTCTTGGAATATATTAAATAATATATATAATATAATATAATAATATAATAAACCTATTTGGACATGAGCAACACTACTAATATTATACTTGGCTCATTCCACTGCCAGCCCCTACGACTACTGTATTTTATATCTGTTTATAAAGTGCTTCTTATCATCACTATCCTCTCATGCATGATAAGAGGTTCAACTCCCTTAACAGATGCAGGACTTTAGTCTTTTTAACTTCCTAAAAGAATTGGTTGCTTAAAGAAAATAAGTTTTGGAACACCACCAAGACAGCACAGTACTAACTCACCCACCAAATTACTTGGTTCCAAAGAGGGAAAGAATCAGCTTCTTGCTGACTACCAGACAATAGCAGAAATTCAATCTGTTACACTTTGTCCATGATTCTTTCAAGAAATTGTAACATGGAAGTCTTGATAGCAGACTAATTGAATACTGTGGTAATGTCAGACACTAACAGAAGTGGGATTTTTTGTTTGTTTGATTGTTTCTTCGTGTGGGTTTTGTTTGTTTGTTTGTTTTTGGGGATTTTTTGAGGGTTATAACCAAAATGGGAACGAAATTTTAAAAGGAAATTTGGCAATTTTGCAAAGTGATGTTTAAATAGCAAAAGCATGCATCTTACCCTCCACTTTCCACACTACAATCATATCACAAAGTAGCTGCTGCTGCACTGCCTTTAGAGTGGTTTAAAGAAATGTCAAGCAGGTCATTGTAATTCCTGATTAAATTCATGCAAGAAGTAAGAGCTACAAGAAACATGTCCTACCAATTTGGCACAATAATCTGAATTTTTTCAAGAATCACTATTTTAGCATACTGCTTGGAGGAATATAATTACAACCACTGAAATAATATTTTTTGAGAACTGGAGAGTGGGAGTTATATTAATAGATTTATTAAAAGCTAGAGACATGAAATATATAAATACATTACAAACAAAAGTAGTACTTACTTCATAAGTCATATATAAAGAGAGGACTACCACACTAAAATTATAAAAGGTCATTATCTGCCTGAGTTCAAAAGGTTTTTTATTTTCCATAAGTTTGGGTCCCAAGGAAGTGACAAAATAAATGTAGGTTCCAATGATAAAGGTTGTTGGAAAAGGTGAAGACATGAGTGGCCAGCCCTCCAGTCTTGGATCTAGAGGGGGAGGAGAGAAAAAATTAAATCAGTTTTAGTCCTTACTAAAACAGCTACAGAAAAGTATTTAATTGCTAATGCTTTATGTTTTTCTGTCAAACCAATCATGTTTCAGAGTCCATTCACCTCAAATCCATACTGACTGGATAATAAGATTGAGGACCTGTAGGTTTCAATGCGTTTTTCTGCATCAGTACTTCACAGATAATGAAAAGGAGACACAGACTCATGAGTGACGTGACCTTCTGTCTCTACAGCACCACAAAACACACTCTTTCATATTAGAAGCAATTTGTAATACATCAAGCAAGTATTGCATGTTCCTCTCCAGTTATCCCAAAGAGATATATTGCAGAGACACCTCCTTATACGCAAACCCCATTCCCTCTCCCTACAGCTAAGGCTGGCAGGCATTCCATCCAAGCATCACCATGACTCCACTGAACCCTTTTGTGGTTCATCACCAAATCTCAGCTCACCAAAGACCTCCACATTTCTCCATAAGCAGGAGAACTGATACAAGCTTCATGGATTTTTTTTTTAAATTTGATTTGATTTGACTTTTATATACTGACTTCTAGAAGATTTGTTTCAGAATGACCCCAAACTTAACTACTGACTCAGTAAACTGCTGTTTTCATGATTTGCTGCTGTATTTTAAGAGTGAAATTATACTATTGCAATTTTTGTCAAGTGTTTAATTCACAGGCAAACACTTTTAAGTCAGCAAATTTTCAACCCACAGCATTCAGGCAACCTATCACCCATGAAACCCTCTGATGTGGTTTACAGTCACTGGAAGTGTAAAAACAGACTGAGGAGGAAAGAACATTATAATGCTGCTCACAGCTTGTAATGTGCCAGTGCTGCTGCCCACACATAACAAGGACTGTGAACCACAGCACACAGAATCTGCCTGTGTGCACTGCAAGAGAATCTCCAGAATCACCAGCTCTTCATAACTGACTGCTCTTTCAACATCCACCCTTGCACTGCTCCTACCAAACCTTTTCTACTGTTCTTCCTATCTTGATCCTGAGGAAAGCATGCTCCGCCACTAACAGTATGGTACAAAATGCCAAATACAGGCACTGGTGGACAGGGAGACAAGGAACTCAAGTTCTGAAGTCATGGCCACGGCAGAAGAAATGCTTCCTTAATCACCCAGCTCCATCCCAATCCACTTCATCTGATTCGTACTGATTAAACTTCCTTCACACTTGCATGCTGTGTTTCTACAGAACAAGGGGAAAGGTGCTCAGCTAGGCTGAAAAAGATAATCCATAATTTTATCTATCAAACTTTAACTGCGTCTCAAATTTTTCCCAGGAATTGGCTAATATGCCTACCACAATGAGAAAGACCAAGATAGATGGGTCTTAACTCCAAAACTGAGATCTTCTCTATAAGTTTTTGATAAACATACAGAGCAACAACATAAAAGCAAGGTGTGTTTAATATCCCTTACTAGCTGCAACAAGAAACTAACACTCCTTTTCAAAATAGAGCTGTGACAGGGTTAATTACTCTGAGGATTCATTTCAAAACACTGAAACTTGTCAGGGTTTGTTGGAGTTTTTCACTTTGCAAAATACAGTAACACCATGAACCTGCATTAATTAATCAATAAAATCCAATTGTTTGATGAATGAAAAAGAGTTAAAACCTTATATTCAGCAGCACAGGAGAAACGTAAATTATATATTCAGGCAAGCCAATAACATTTACAGAAGAATAACTGTCTGCACTTTATTTACTGTGAGCCTATTCCCATGAACTACCTGAGTTTTGCTAATTTCCTATTTAAAATAGTCTGCTCTGTCAATAGGTAACCGACAAGTTTAACAAAAATTTACAAGATGACAAAGCTACTTTTAAGTTAGTCAACAGCACATTGCTATTCAATATAATTGGTAGATTTAAATTACTCACCAGCATCTTTAATCCATTCATCGTAGAGTAGTACAGCCTTTGAAGTCAGATTGCTAAGGGCCATTTTCACTTGATAAAGATTTTATGATGCTGCCTGCAGGAAAGCAAACCAAAACAGAAATATGGATTTCTGTCAATAAAATAGAGATCAGTAAAGTTTTATGGAAAATATTTTCAAGAAACAGATTAGTAAAAAACAGAGAGGGCTTACAGAGCACCACATGTGAAATACAGATCAAGAAGTGTTAGCTGACCACATCCCACTATACTTGGGTCTAATTTATAGCTGAGCTGTTATGCACAACAATATGATTTTGCAATCTATGTATACAAACCAGGTGTTTCCGTGCCATAAAGTTTATCTCGAGAAACCGTGCTGTGGTTAACCATTACAGTGAAGGGACAAATATGAATAAACAACAGACACTTAAACTGATTTTTATTACCATCTCCACTTAAAGTCCAAGTCACTGATATGTGGAGTTCAGCTTTGCAACATTTATTATTGAAAAATAATATTAATTTTCTAACTAAGAATTATTTCTAAGGTAAGTGGGAAGGAGAAAAGCTAGCAATATGTCAGCATATTCCTTTTAAATACAATAATTAGTTATGTTATAATTAGTATGCAAATTCCACTCTGATGAATCAACTGTTTCCACACCAGGATTGTGGAATGTCACAGTACAAATGGTAATACCATTAACTCACAAAAATTATCCAGCACATCCACTCTGTATGCAGCACCTCCCACATATGTAAAACTTTTCAAAGTATACCTATATGAACACTCATTTTTTTCTCCACCATGAAGTACTCACCAGCTCTTCCCTTGCCTCATCTCCCCTACAAAATACCTTTTAAAAACCCCAGCACATCTAAAGGGTGTCCCTCCTATTTCCACTCAGTGTCTCACTTTACCATATGATTTCTCTCCATACCCCTGTGCAATCCTCACACTATATTCACCTTTATTAGTTCAGGCTGCACTACACCTTGATAACAAGATCCCTTCCTCTGGCAGCCCTTCTGCATCTCCTCCAGGCTAACCAGATGCAGGTTTGGACAGCTGCTTCTGCCCTCATGATTTTCAGGTCTCTCCACTATTATCTCTTCTCATTTGTTCTCACCTTAACAGTTCTGAAAAATAATTTCACCCACATCTCCACAGGTTCCTGTTCACTGCCATTTCACAAAGAGTTTTTAGCCCTTACACCCACCTTCATCACAAGATCCAACACAGACAAGCTTACCTTCATTAGAGTTCATCTGATCTACTTTGTCCTAATTCTCGTTTTGCTACTCACTTATTTCCCTGCTTGCACTTCTGTCCTGTGCCTCTGAATATCTGAAACCACCATCAATTTCACACTAGGAAAATGTTCCCTCTGTGAGTCTCTTTGACGTTCACATTTTCTAGAAATATCATCCTCCTGTATCAGCATTTCCCAACTCAACATCATTGCCTTCATGCTGACCATTTTCACATGCCATAGACTCATATTACAGTGTTTGCTTCAAAGATCTATATTTATAAAGATGCTTGCAAGATCAGAAGTAGGGTGCATCCTCTCCCTTTTCTAATGGAAACCTCAAGGGCCCTCTTCCATTTGGCACTATAATCACATGATCGAAAAGATTTTATGGTTAGAGGCAAACTATTATTGCCATCTTGCTCCATAAGCCACACTATTGATGATATCAAACATGCATAAATTCAACCCTGTCTTGAACACCAGGTACTTCAGACTGCCCAACTGCGACAGCCACGCAATTCAGCTGTAACTGGTGCTGGAGAGGAAGCATTAAAAAAACCTTTACTTCATAAATAATCACTGTAATTAAATGTTTAGATTGATTACCTAAAAAAGTTATCCTTTTAGTCCAGTATTTTTTCCATTTCAGATGTACAAGAACAGTCTATCCAGAGACAAGGCATTGCAAACTGAAGGTATTTCATTCATCAGTTACAATAAAATTCTGCCAAAGCCCACAGACACCTTGTGCACAATATGGCTCAATTTTTCCAACAAATATATTCACTGAGTACAAATAATCACATTATATTTAATTGGTTCTTCAATAAGAAAAATAGTTTACTGATTTCACTGCTACTCATGCTAGTTTTCCCACCCTCGTGCTACTGGAGCTTGGACTGGTTAGTTCAACATGCTGACCAAGACTAAAGTTATATAAGTATCTACTTCTTAAAAATATGCTCTCAAAAATCCAGAAAATTCAGTGTAGATGTTAGCTTTAAATTAATTGGCAATTTATATTGCCATTTACCTTGTCCCACGTCTCCTGACACCCCAACTCTCCCGCAACACCACTTGCAGTTCCTCTCCCTTTAAAACGTTCCACAAGAGCTAAGACAGCAAAGGTTCTGAACTTTCAAGATTCCTTTTCTGTTCACAGCCAAGCAAGATACAACTGCAGTTGCAAAACTTATTCAGAAAGTTCAGTAACTATGGTTAAGAGAAGGATGTACTAGGCACAAATCAGCCACAAAATAGTGACTGATCAATTAATCTGAACCTAAAGGTAAGCAAAATTCAGTAAGTTAAACCCAATTATTTTAAGAGTAGAAATAACGTGTGCAAAAAAAGATCATGCTGTTCAAAACTTTATTACAGTTAAATGATTTAAAACCAACTTTCATATATGACATTATTACTTTGCTTTCAATGTGCTTTCCAATTTATTTCCCTAACTAGCTACTCACTTTTCCTTTCCATTTCCATGAACAGTAGTTTACAATAATGTTACATTTTGAGGATAAGCTGTTTGTTTACAACCTACAAAAGTGGGGTTAATGGCAGCATGGAAGATACTTTGTCTTATCATTTTACACTTAGTTCACAAACAAAGTCATACATACTGGAAAATAACATGATCAAGGCTTCATTTTGGTTTTTTGTTTGTTTTTTTTAATAGAAGAGTAAAAAAAAAGAAAACCACATATCCATACACAAGATAAACAACTACCTTGTGCTTCATCAAGAAAAAACAAACCATTTTTGAAAGACTGTCTTTTTACAGTACAGTTGTTAAGAAGTAACCTGATACTGCTTTGACCGTAATACAATCTTCCAAAAAGTTTGGCAGTTTTGAAGGCTACAGAACTTATCTTCTAAATGTGAGACTGGAAATAGTTTGCCTGAAGGGACAAAGACTTGGGGCCAGCGAAGGCCATTTGTTAAATACATAGCTTTAGTTCTTCACGCTATAAACTCATACACATTTGTACAGCCAGAGTTCAATCACAAAAATGTACATTTGTTTTATATACCTGCTAAAGTGCTTACAGAATCAGTACATCAACACTTTTATTTCCTATGTTCCCCTTTCTGCTTATACCAAAATTCTGCCATAAAATGCACAACAGAGAGTCTAGTTTGTAGCAAACTCTCAATAAGTCACACTAGCAAACTCATTTTCAAAGTTAGGTTATTTTAAATTACATATTGCAAGCAATTTACATGAACTTAAAAATGCAGTCATATAAGTAGTCTTCCCAGCTTGAAAAGTTTTAAATAACATACAGTCAGTCCTCTCAAGCATACGCATTTGGAAAACAAGCACCAAAATCACCTCAAAAACATATTCAAGGTACTCAGCCCTTCAAAAGAAGTAAGCACTTTTTCTGATTTTGTCAGTGGAAACAATATTGCGCACGTAGGTTCCAGCCAGCTGTACTACCATCATTTCTGAAGACATCTTAAAACAAATGTGCCTACACCACTTCAAAATAGGAGGTGTAAGTGAGGCAAAAGAAAAAAGGGCTCTGTTAAAAGAGCAAAGCAACTTGCTGTCCTCTGGTTCCCTGCAGCTCAGCAGACAGATGGAAGAGCCCACTAACTGCAGCTGAGTTAAAGCGTACAGCTTGGCAGAACCAATTTCAAGTCAGACCTTAACTGGGAAGGCAAGGGCAGATTAGATCATTTAGAGCTACCAGAAATGCTACAGATACTACAGAAAACTATATGAGAACGTTTGATGATGACAAGTGGTAAGGAAAAAAGTTGTTGGAAGTGCTTCAAGTTCAGTCAGCTCATAAAACTATTAGTGATTTTTGTAATGGGAATTACTGGTATGCCTTAAACATTCCTTATTTCTAAATGAGAACAAGAAGTTTCTCACATTCCTTTGCTTAACTCACATGAAAGATATTTGCCATTCTTGATACTTATTTATTCCCCCTACATAGTTTTTTAATAATAAAACAGATATGAAGATTTGCTTTTAAATAGTAATTTTACAACAATTATTTTATCTGGGCGGCTACTGAACAAAACAAGCATACAAAAGAACTTGACATAAAAAACAAGCAAAATGAAACAGTCTAATGTAGGCTCTGTCACTCCAGAATGCAAATTTTAACTCAGTGTGAACTTAAAACACTTAACATTAAGAATTTACATTAGAGAGCAAAGCTACTTTTACAGGAACCCATTAGCAAAAGGTTGCAGATTAAGACAATTGAGTATAGACTTCAGAGGTCTAATTTCCACTCAAGGCAGGTCCCAAAAGCAATGGTTCCAGAGCATCACCCCTGGCCTGGTAAGCCAGTCGCTATAAGAGGTCCTCCACACTGCAGAGCCCACTGTAAGAGGGAGAGAACATCCAGAAACCACAGCTCTGATTTCAAATTTATAGCTTAAGAAATGGCAATAATACTGGCTTACACTTTCAGGTACATTTATGAAACTTTCATGTTTCAGAATGACTTTGTATACTGTTGTTAATTCTTCTCTTGAAGCTCAGAAGATACTTAAACTAGGACATTTCACAGATGGTATCTTAAGCTGTACCTGGGAAATACTAGCTCTGCCCTTCCTATTTCCCAGGGCTGTGTGTTACATAATTGTAGTTATTTTAACTATATTACTCCCTCATGTCACATGGCAAGCAACTACAAACAGCCTATTACAATACATGGATTACTCACCTGTATTCTGCAACAAAGTTTAAACTTTAGGTGGGTGTCACCTGTTGTTATGGATTTTGCTGAGAGAAGTTTCTGTCACCTTTACCATCCTTTATGCCTTGTCTCAACCACCTAGCCCAGTTTTGGAAAGCTTCATCTCACAA